ACCCCGATGACCCCTCGGTGTCCCCCCGGTGTCCCCAGGTGCCCCCAGCACGGCCGAGCTGCGCATTTGCCGCGTGAACCGCAACTCCGGGAGCTGCCGGGGTGGGGACGAGATCTTCCTGCTGTGTGACAAGGTGCAGAAAGGTGAGAACACCCCGAAAACATCCCAAAAACACCCAAAAACACCCCAAAAACACCCCGAAAACACCACCCCAAAAATATCCCAAAAACACCCCCAAATCAGGGGTGGGGACGAGATCTTCCTGCTGTGTGACACGGTGCAGAAAGGTGAGAAGACCCCGAAAACAGCCCAGAAACACCCCCAAAAACACCCTGAAAACAGCCCAGAAACACCCCCAAAAACACCCTGAAAACAGCCCAGAAACATCCCAAAAACGCCTCCAAAACGACGCCCCAAAACCTGGGACACCCCGAAACTGGGACACCCTGAACTAAGGACATCCTGAACCTGGGACATCCCAAACCCTGGGCACCCCAAAACCTGGGATATCTGTGTCCCTGTCCCTGTGCCCTCTCCATGTCCCCGCGGTGTCCCCAGCCTGTCCCTGTCCCCGTCCCTGTCCCCGTGCTCTGTCCCTGTCCCCCGGTGTCCCCAGCATGTCCCAGTCCCTGTGCCGTGTCCCCATCCCCACGCCCTGTCAGTGTCCCCATGGTGTCCCCGTCCCCTCAGAGGACATCGAGGTGCGTTTCTGGGCCGAGGGCTGGGAGCCAAGGCCTCGTTCATGCAGGCCTGAGCCTGTGCCTGTCCCTGTCCATGTCTCCATCCCCTGCTGTCCCTGGTGTCCCCAACACGTCCCCCTGTCCCCTCAGAGGACATCGAGGTGCGTTTGTGGGCTGAGGGCCCAGACAGGCCTCGTTCGCGCAGGCCCGTCCCTGTCCCCAGCCCTGTCACTGTCACTGTCCCCATGCCCTGTCAGTGTCCCCATTGTGTCCCCAACATTGAGGTGCGGAGGACATTGAGGTGCGTTTCTGGGCCGAGGGCTGGGAGCCAAGGCCTTGTTCATGCAGGCCTGTCCCTGTCCCTGTCCCTGTCCATGTCCATGTCCTGTCAGTGTCCCCATGGTGTCCCTGTCCCTAAGGTGTCCCCAACACGTCCCCCTGTCCCCTCAGAGGACATTGAGGTGCGTTTCTGGGCCGAGGGCTGGGAGCCAAGGCCTTGTTCATGCAGGCCTGTCCCTGTCCCTGTCCCTGTCCATGTCCATGTCCTGTCAGTGTCCCCATGGTGTCCCTGTCCCTAAGGTGTCCCCAACACGTCCCCCTGTCCCCACAGAGGACATCGAGGTGCGTTTCTGGGCTAAGGGCCCAGACAGGCCTCGTTCGCGCAGGCCTGTCCGTGTCCCCAGCCCTGTCACTGTCACTGTCCCCACACCCTGTTAGTGTCCCCATGTCCTGTCAGTGTCCCCATTGTGTCCCCAACACGTCCCCCTGTCCCCTCAGAGGACATCGAGGTGCGTTTCTGGGCTAAGGGCCCAGACAGGCCTCGTTCGCGCAGGCCTGTCCGTGTCCCCATGCCCTGTCCCTGTCCCCACGCCCTGTCAGTGTCCCCATTGCGTCCCCTACATGTCCCCATCCCGCAGAGGACATTGAGGTGCGTTTCTGGGCCGAGGGCTGGGAGGCCAAGGGCTCCTTCGCGCAGGCCGACGTTCACCGCCAGGTCGCCATCGTGTTCCGCACGCCGCCGTTCCGGGACCCCGCGCTGCGCGCCCCGGTCACCGTGCGCATGGAGCTGCAGCGGCCCTCGGACCGCCAGCGCAGCGCCCCCGTGGACTTCAGATACCTGCCCCACCAGGGTGGGCCTGGGGAGGGGGCTCTGGGGGGCTATGGGGTGGTTATAGGGTCTGTCTTGTGGGTTTGGAGGTGATTGAGGACATTCTGGATCTATGGAGCTGCAGTTCCCCCATGGACTTCAGATGCCTGCCCCACCAGGGTGGGCTTGGGGAGGGGGCTAGGGGCAGTTATGGGGGGCTAGGGGTGGTTATAGGGTCATTTTGGGGCTCTGGGGATGATCTGGGGTCCCTCTGGGACATTCCCGGGTCTCTGGAGCTGCAGTTCCCATGGATTCCTGTTCCCACTGCAGCTCCCATTCATTTCCCATACCTGCCCCACCAGGGTGGGCCTGGGCAGGGGGCTTTGTGGGGCTAGGGGCAGTTATGGGGTCCTTAGTGTGAGTCTGGGGGGCTCCAGGGTTCCTTTGGGGCATTCTCAGGTGACTTTGGGACATTCCCGGGTCTTTTTGTGACATTTCTGGGTCCCTGGATCCCATGGATTCCTATTCCCACTGCAGCTCCCATTCATTTCCCATACCTGCCCCACCAGGGTGGGCTTGGGCAGGGGTCTGGGGGCTCCCAGGGGGGTCCCAGGCGGGTGACAGCCCTAACTGGGATCTGACTGGGATCTGACTGGTGTCCCTGGTGTCCCTGGTGTCCCTGGTGCAGGGGACCTGCAGTGCATCGAGGAGAAGCGCAAGAGGACGCGGGAAACGTTCCGCTCCTTCATCCAGCGCAGCCCCCTGCCCGGTGGGGATTCTGGGGGGCTTTGGGGTCCCTGGGGGGATTATTGGGGTCCCTGGGGGTTGTTTGGGGGGGATTTGAGGGGTATTTGGGGGGATTATTGGGGTCCCTGGGGGGCTTTGGGGGGATTATTGGGGTCCTTGGAGGGGGTGTTGGGGGGATTATTGGGGTCCCTGGAGGGTCTGGAGAGGAAATTGAGGGTCCCTGGGGGAGGTCCAGAGGGGATTTGGGGTCCCTGGGGGGGATTTGGGGTTCCTGGGGGGGCCCTGAGGAGGTTTTGGGGTCCCAGGGGGGGCGTTCCTGAGGGGATTTGGGGTCCTTGGGGGGGGGGGGGTCTCTAAGGTTTTGGAGTCCCTGAGGAGGATTTGGGGTCCCTGGGGGGGGGTCCCTGGGAGGGATTTGGGGTCCCTGGGAGGTTTTGGGGTCCCTGGGAGGTTTTGGGGTCCCGGGGGGGTCCCTGACCCCCATATCTGCCTCCCCCAGCCCCCAGCGAGTCGCGCCCCCCCCGGCGCCTGGCGGTGCCATCGAGACCCCCCCAGAACCCCCAGAACCCCCCCAGTGCCGGTGAGCGGGAACTGGGAGGGACTGGGAGGGACTGGGGGGGACTGGGGGGGACTGGGATGGGACTGGGATGGACAGGGATGGACTGGGGGGGACTGGGATGGGACTGGGGGGAACTGGGGGGGACTGGGGGGAACTGGGGGGAACTGGGGGGGACTGGGGGGAAAATGCGGGGTGGGAGGCAAGGAGGGAATTGGGCAGGGGGCAATTGGGGGGTAAATGGGGCTGGAGGCGATTTTGGGGGTACAATGGGGGGAATTGGGGGGAACAATGGGGGAATTGGGGGGCTCGAGCCCCCCCCTCACCCTCCCCTCCCCCCCCAGCTCCCTCCTTCTCCTTCGGGGGTCCCGGGGGGCTCCTGGGGGCGCCGCCCCCCCCCGAGGCCGAGCCTTTGTCGGAGGCGCTGCTGCAGCTGCAATTTGAGGAGGGGTCCCCCCAAATCCCCCAAATCCCCCAAATGCCCGACATTGGGGGGGGGTCCAGCAGCGCTGCCGCCCCCTCCCCCCAATTGGATTTCGGGGCCCTTTTGGGGGACACCCCCTTCCCCCCGCTGGACCCCCTGAACCCCTCGGAGCTCCAGCGCCTGCTGGGACCCCCCGAGCCCCCCCCCAATTTCGGGGACCCCTCCCCGGATGATTTTGGGGCGGGGGTTTCGGAGCTGCCGCCCCCCGCTCAGGATTTCGGGGGGGGTCCCCCCATGCTGCTGTCGTACCCCGAGGCCATCGCGCGCCTGGTGCAGGGGGCGCCCCCCGAAATGGGGCTGGGGGCGGAGCTGGGGGCGGGGCCCCAGCAGAGGGCGGGCCCGGGGGCGGGGCCGGGGGCGGGGCTAGGGGGGGGAGGGGAGGACTCGCTGCCCTCGCTGGGCGAGCTCGACTTCAGCGCCTTCCTCAGCCAGTTCCCGTCGTCGTGACTGGGAGGGACTGGGACAAACTGGGAGGGACTGGGAGGGGGTTTGGGGGCTACTGGGAGCCACTGGGATGGACTGGGAGGGGTCTGGGGGAGGCTACTGGGGGGCACTGGGAGGGACTGAGGCTTTACTGGGAGTTACTGGGAGGCTTTTAGAGGTTACTGGGAGCTACTGGGACAGACTGGGATGGACTGGGACGGGGCCTGGGGGGCTTTGGGGGGTCTGGGGGGCTACTGGAGTGCACTGGGAGGGTCTGAGGCTTTACTGGGAGGCTTCTAGGGGTCACTGGGAGTCACTGGGAGGCTTTTAGGGGTTACTGGGAGGCTTTTAGTGTTCACTGGGACTTACTGGGATGCTTTTGGGGTTTACTGGGAGTCACTGGGAGGGTTCTAAGGGTTACTGGGAGGCTTTTAGGGATTGCTGGGAGTTACTGGGAGACTTTTAGGGGTTACTGGGAGTCACTGGGAGCTCTGTGTGGTTACTGGGACACAACTGGGAGTCACTGGGAATTCCCTGAGGTTACTGGGAGCTACTGGGAGGACACCGAGTGCCTGCTGGGGTTACTGGGAGCTACTGGGAGACTCCTGAGGTGCCTTTTTGGGGGGTCCCCGCTTCGCCCCGCCCCCCAGGGCACAGCAGCCAATGGGAGTGTGGCCGCCCCTCCCCCCTTGCCTTAGCCCCGCCCCCTGGAAGTGCCTTTGGGGGGAGGGGAAAGCCCCGCCCCTCCCCCCGCCCCAATAAACGGTCCAAGGCCCGTCTGCGTTTGATTGACAGCTGAGGGGCGTGGTTTGTACACAGAGGGGAGTGGTTTTCGCGGGAGGGGCGTGGCTTTATTTGCAGGGGCGTGTCCATCTTGGCGCTGCCTCCGGCTGGGCGGGGCTTTGTTGGGAAGGGGCGTGGCCTCGTCCCGGAAGGGGCGGGGCGGGGCGCGCCGGGGAGGCCGCGGCGGAGCCGAGCGGGGCCGGGACCGGGGCCGGGCCGGGAGCGGCCGGAGCAGGGCCGGGAGCGGCGGGAGCGGGGCCGGGCGGGACCGGCCGGGATCCCCCGGGAGCCCCCGGGGCCAGCGAGGCGGCCATGCCGAGCAAGAAGAAGAAATACAACGCGCGCTTCCCGCCGGTACCGGCTCTGAGGGGGAGACGGGGCCGCCATGACTGCCTAGGGGGAGGCGGGAATGGGGGTTACCATGGCAACGCAAAGGGCGGGGAAACGGGGGTTACCGTGGCAACGGGCGGGGCGGGATCAGGTCACCATGGCAACGAGGGTGGGGTCGTGAGGGTCACCATGGGAACCGTGGGGAGGGCGGGGCAAGGCTGAGGGTGGGCGGGGTTTGGGCGGGCGGGGGCGGGCGTGAGGGGAGAGGTGGGGGTGTGGCCAAAGGGGTGGGCGGGGCTCAGGTGAGGGCGGGGCTCCCCAGGTGAGGGCGGGGCTCTCCAGGTGAGCGCTCAGGTGAGGGTGGGGCTCCCCAGGTGAGGGCGGGGCTCTCCAGCTGAGCGCTCAGGTGAGGGCGGGGCTCTGTAGGTGTGGGCGGGGCTCTCCAGGTGAGCGCTCAGGTGAGGGCGGGGCTCCCCAGGTGAGGGCGGGGCTCTCCAGCTGAGCGCTCAGGTGAGGGCGGGGCTCTGTAGGTGTGGGCGGGGCTCTCCAGGTGAGCGCTCAGGTGAGGGCGGGGCTCCCCAGGTGAGGGCGGGGCTCTCCAGCTGAGCGCTCAGGTGAGGGCGGGGCTCTGTAGGTGTGGGCGGGGCTCTCCAGGTGAGGGCGGGGCTCTCCAGCTGAGCGCTCAGGTGAGGGCGGGGCTCTGTAGGTGTGGGCGGGGCTCTCCAGGTGAGCGCTCAGGTGAGGGCGGGGCTCTGCGCAGGCGCGGATCAAGAAGATCATGCAGACGGACGAGGAGATCGGGAAGGTGGCGGCCGCCGTGCCCGTCATCATCTGTATCCTCTGGCACGCCTGGGCACACCTGGGCATACCTGGGACCCCACCCTGGGCACACCTGGAAACCTCTGGGACCCCGCCCTGCACACCTGGGCACACCTGGGACCCCACCCCGCTCACCTGTGTCCCTGGGGGTGTCACCTGTGTACCTGTCCGTCTGTCTCCGCACCCCTGTCTGTCTGTCTGTCCCCGCCCACCCGTCCCTCTGTCCCGCACACCTGTGGGTATCCCTGGGGGTGTTACCTGCCCACCTGTCCGTCCGTCCGTCCTTACCTGCGCGCTCCCAGCGCGGGCCCTGGAGCTGTTCCTGGAGTCGCTGCTGCGCAAGGCGTGTCACGTGACCCAGTCCCGCAACGCCAAGACCATGACGACGTCACACCTGTGAGTGCTACACCTGTCCTTACCCGTCCCCAGGTGTCCCCTCACCTGTCCCCAGGTGTGCTTTACCTGTCCCCTCACCTGTTATCACCTGTGAGTGCCTCAGGTGTTCCTTACCTATCCTCACCTGTCCCTCACCTGTGAATGCCTCATCTGCCTCCCACCTGTCCTCAGGTGTCCCTCACCTGTCCCCACCTGCTGGCACACCTGGGCCGCCTCAGGCAGTTGGGGAAGGGTCCCTGACACACCTGAGGCGCTTTTGGGGTGGGCGTGGCTGTCTCAGATGTGTTGGGCGTGGCTGGATGGGTGTGGCCTATCCCATGTGTGTTGGGCGTGGCCAGTTGGCCTGTGGGCGTGGCCGGGTGGGTGTGGCCGGGTGGGTGTGGCCCATCCCAGGCGCACTGGGCATGGCCGGGCGGGCTGTGGGCGTGGTCTGGCAGGTATGGACGTGGCCGGGCGGGCTGTGGGCGTGGCCGGATGTGCGTGGGCGTGGTCTGAGGCCCCGCCCGCAGGAAGCAGTGCATCGAGCTGGAGCAGCAGTTCGACTTCCTCAAGGACCTGGTGGCCGCCGTGCCCGACATGCAGGGGGACGGTGACGACGGCCACGGCGATGGGGACAGGGCGCCCCGCAGGTGGGCACACCTGGGCACACACCTGGGGCACACCTGGGCACACCTGGGGTACTGTGGGGACACCTGGGGACACCTGAGATACACCTGGGGTACTGTGGGGACACCTGGGATACCTGGGCACACACCTGGGACATACGTGGGGCACACCCCAACACCTGGGCACAGCCCTGGGATACCCCCACGGCAACGGGGACAGGGCGCCCCGCAGGTGGGTACACCTGGAACACACCTGGGGACAGCTGGGACACACCTGGGGTACTGTGGGGACACCTGGGCACACACCTGGGGCACACCTGGGACACACCCCAACACCTGGGGACAGCCCTGGGATACCCCCAGGGCGGTGGGGACAGGGCGCCCCGCAGGTGGGTACACCTGGAACACACTTGGGGTACTGTGGGGACACCTGGGTGCACCTGGGATACACCTGGGGACACACCTGGGCACATCTGGGCACGACTGGGGACACACTTGGACACACCTGGGACACACCCAGGGACCTGGGGACAGCCCTGGGACACTTTGGGGACACCTGGGATACCTGGGGACACGTGGGACACACCTGGGATACTGTGGGGACAGCCCTGGGATACCTGGGGACACATCATGGGACACCTGGGACCCACCTGGGATACATGGAGGACACATGGGGACACTCCTGAATACGTGGGGGACACCTGGGGACACTCCCGGGTACCTGGGGACCCCTGGGGACACACCTGGACATCTCGGGAACAGCTGTGGCGTAGTTGGGGGACACCCTGCGATATTTGGGGACACCTGTGGAGCCTTGAGGGACCCCTTGGACACCTGTGGGACACCTGGGGAGGGTCCTGGGGGACCTGAGGGACCCTTTGAACACCTGGGGGGCACCTGAGGGACCCCCCCAGGTTCCTCTGGGACCCACCTGGGAGACCCTCCCCACACCTGAGGCCCCTGAGGGGGGTTTGGGGCAGTTTTGGGGTGCAGGGGGGGTCCCTGAGGGGGGAATTTGGGGTCTCTAATGAGCGGGGATCTTTAATTGGGGGGGTTTCTAATGAAGAGAGTCTCTAATGAGGAGGGGTCTCTAATTGTGGGGCTCTCTAATTGGGGGGGGTCTCTAATGAGGAGTGGTCTGTAATGAAGGGGGTCCCTAACGAGGGGTCTCTCTAATGAGGGGGATCTCTAATGAGGGGGGGGTTTGGGTTCTCTAATGAGTGGTGTTTCTAATTGTGGGGGTCTCTAATTGGGGGGGGTCTCTTGCAGGGGGCGCCGCCCGGGCAGTGGCCGCAAGAACGGGGGTCCCGGGGCCAAGGGGACCCCGAAACAATCGGGGACAGACTCGGAGCAGGAGGTGGGGGGGAATTGGGGGGTCCCATGGGGGATTTGGGGGGTCCTGGGAGGCTTTTGGGGGGTCCCGGGAGGGTTTTAGGGGGATTTGGGGGACTTTGGGGTTCCCAGGGGGGATTTGGGGGGTCCTGGGTGGAATTTGGGGGAACTGGGGAGTCCTGGGGGATTCTTAGGGGGATTTGGGGGGAATTTGGGAGGTCCTGGGGGAAATTCTGGGGGTCCTGGGGAAGAATTGGGGGGTCCTGGGGGGATTTGGGGAGGTCCCCGTGGGATTTAGGGGGTCTTGGGAGGGTTTGGGGTTTCTGGGACCCTCTGGGGAGGATTTGGGGGGTCCTGGGGGGAATTTGGGGGGTCCCAGGGGGATTTGGGGTTTCCTGGGGGGTTTGGGGTTTGTGGCTCCCTCTGGGGGGGGTTTGGGGGGATTTGGGGGGAATTGTGGGGTTCTGGGGAGGATTTCGGGGGTCCCCTGGGGTTCGGGGTCGGATTTTGGGGAGGGGTCCCCTCACTGCCCCCCCCCCCCCCCAGGAGGACTCTGAGGACAGCGACAGCGACGGGGACGAGGAGACCCCGGCCCCGCCCCCGGCCCCGCCCCCGCTCACCTTCACCAGGTGCGGTTTGGGGGGCACAAACACCGGGGGGGGGTTGGGGATTTTTGGGGGGGATTTGGGGTTTTTTTGGGAAGAGTTGGGGCTTTTTTTTGTTTTGTTTTTTTGGTTTTTTGGGGGGGCATTTGAGTTTTTTTTGGTGGGGGGTTGGGAGTTTCTTTGGGGGGATTTGGGGTTTTTTTGGGGTTTTTTGGGGGGGATTTGGGGTTTTTTGGTGGGGGGTGGGCGTTTTTTGAGGTTTTTTTTGGGGACGTTTGGGGTTTTTTGGGGGCTTTTTTGGGGGCTTTTTAAGGGGGGATTTGAGGTTTTTGGGGGACTTTGGTTTTTCTTGGAGGAGATTTGGTTTTTTTTGGAGGGGATTTGGGGGTTGTTTGGAGTTTTTTGGGGGGGGGGCTGGGTTTTTTTGGTATTTTTGGGGGGGGATTTGGAATTTTTGTGGGGTTTTTTTTTGTTTGTTTTTTTGGGGGGATTTTTGGGGGGGGATTTGGGGTTTTTTTGTGGTTTTTTCGGGTTTTTTGGGGGGGCAGGTTTGGGGCTTTTTTGGGGGTTTATTTGGGGAGGGTTTTTGGGGTTTTTTGGGGGGGTCTTTGGGGGGGTTTTGGGGCTTTTCGATTTTTTTTGGAGTTTTTTGGGGGGTTGGGATTGTTTTGGGGTTTTTTGGGGGGGTTGGTGTTTTTTTTAGTGTTCTTTTAGGGTTTCTTTTGGGGGGGTTGAGAGTTTTTGGGCGGTTTTTTGGGGTTTTTTTGGGGTTTTTTTGGAGTTTTTTGGGTTTTTTTTGGGGGGAGTTGGGTTTTTGGTGTTTTTTTGGTGTTTTTGTTTTGAGGGGGTTTGGCTTTTTTTGGGGTTTTTTTTTTGGCGTGGTTTGGGGTTTTTTTATTTTGGGGGGGGTTGGGGGTTTTTTTGGGGAATTTTTTTGGGGGGTTTTTTTGGGGGGGGTCTTTTGGGGTTTTGGGGGGGGGTTTGGAGTTTTTTTGGGGTTTTTTTGGGGGGTTTTTTTGGGGGGTTTTTTTTGGGGGTTTTTTGGGGGGTCTTTTGGGGTTTTGGGGGGGGTTTGGAGTTTTTTTGGGGTTTTTTCGGGGAATTTTTTGGGGTTTTTTTTTTTGGTTTTTGGGTGTTTTTTTGGGGTTTTTTTGGGGTTTTGGGGGGGCGGTTTGGGTGTATTTTTTGGGAGGATTTTGGGTTTTTTTGCCGTTTCCCCCCCTCACTTTCCCCTCTCCCCCCGCAGCCCCGGGGTCCCGTTCGCCCCCCTGGGCCCGCCCCCCCTCCCTGGGGGTCTCCCCGGGGGGCTCCCCCCGGCCCCCGCCCCCCCCCGCGCCCCCCACGAGGAGGAGGAGGATGAAGATTACGACTCCTAGCGCCCCCCCCCCCCCCATTTTTACCAAATTCTCCGGAATTTCCCCCAATCCGGGGTCGGGCCTTATGGGAGCCGGGCCCGGCCCCAGTTTGGGGGGGCACTGGGAGCGCTGGGACCCCCCCGGACACAGCCGGGACCCCTTTTTGGGGGTGGGGGGCTCGGGGGGGGGGTCGGGGGGTGATTTTGGGGCTCTTTGGGGGCTTCTGCTGAGTCGGGGGTTTTGTATCGGCTCAATAAAGTTCCTGTTTCCAGATGGACCCCCCCAAAAAAAACCAAACAAAGCTGGGACCCCCCAAAAAATCCCTGAGACCCCAAAATCTCTGAATTTTCTCCTAGAAAATCCTGGGATCTCCCCCCAAAAAACAACCCTGGGATCCCCCCAAAAAATCCTGAGACCCCCAAAACCCTGGGACCCCCTCCCAAAAAAACCCTGGAGCCCCCCCAAAAAAAACCCTGAGACCCTAAAACCCCTGGGACCCCCAAACCTCTGAGTTTTCCCTTAAAAAATTCTGGGGACCCCCCCCCCCCCCCCCGAAAAAATCCTGGGATCCCAAACCTCTGAATCCTCTCCCCAAATTCTCGGGACCCCTCCCCAAATTCCCATTTCCGTCTTTGGCCACGAGGGGGCGTCAGAACCCCCCCGGGACCCTATGGGGGATTTTTGGGGTCATCCGGGCGGATTTTCGGGTATTTTTGGGGGATTTGGGGTTTTTTTGGGGTGGTTTTGGGGTTTTAGGGGTTGTAGGGATTTATAGGGGGGGTCTTGGGGTTCTGAAAGGATTTTGGGTTTTTTTGGGGGCGGGTTTTGGGGGAGCTGTAGGGATTTATAGGGGGGTCTTGGGGGTCTGTAGAGGATTTGGGGTTTTTTTTGGGGGGATTTTGGGGTTTGGGGGAGCTGTAGGGATTTATAGGGGGGTCTTGGGGGTCTGAGCGGATTTTGGGGGGGTTTGAGGGTTTTTGGGGGAGGGGTTTAGGGCCCTTCAGGGACACCGAGGACCCATAGGATCTATAGGGCCCCCCTGGGGGGGGGTGTAGGACCCTAAAATGGGGGGGGGTCAGAGGGGTCTGGGGGGGTCAGTGAGATCCTATCGGGGACCCCAGGGCCCTAAAGGAGCTTTAAAGGGATTTTGGGGGGTCTGTGGGGGTTTGGGGGGGTCTATAGGGGCTCGAGGGGCTCTATAGGGTCCTTGGGGGGCTTATGGGGGCTCGGGGGTGCCTATAGGGGCACCTCGAGGGGCTCCTGGGGGGATTTTTGGGGCACTTTGGGGTCCGGAGCAGGGACACCAACAGGTGGGCGAGAGGTCCCTAAATGAGGAGGGGTCCCTAAATGAGGGGGGGCTCTCGGGGGTCCCGATCATTTGGAGAGTCCCTAAATGTGGAGAGGGGTCCCTAAATGTGGGCGAGGGGTCCTTAAATGTGGGGAGGGGGTCCCCATCCTTTAGGGGGTCCCTAAATGTGAAAGGGGCTCCCTAAATGTGTGGGGTGGGGGTCCCTAAATGAGGGGGCGTCTCGGGGGGTCCCGATCCTTTGGGGGGTCCCTAAATGTGGGGGCGTCCCTGAATGTGGGAGGGGTCTCGGGGGGTCCCTAAATGTGGGGAGGGGTCCCGGGGGTCCCTTATTGTGGGAGGGGTCCCGGGGGTCCCCTCGGTCCCGCGCAGCCCCCGCGGGGCGGGCGGGGGGAGCGCAGGGCCCGGACCCCCCCGCGGCGCTGGAATTTCCCCCCCCCGTTAATCCCGGGGGCACCAAAGGCGGCGAAGCGGCCGCGTTGTGTAACGGGAGCGGCGCGGACGGACGGACGGACAGGAGCGGGAGAGCAGGTGGGACACACGGACAGGGGGACATGGGGACAGGGGGACATGGGGACAGCGGGACATGGGGACAGAGGGACATGGGGACAGCGGGACATGGGGACAGGGGGACATGGGGACAGGGGGACATGGGGACAGGGGGACACACGGACAGGGGGACATGGGGACAGGGGGACATGGGGACAGAGGGACATGGGGACAGGGGGACATGGGGACAGCGGGACATGGGGACAGAGGGACACACGGACAGGGGGACATGGGGACAGGGGGACATGGGGACAGAGGGACACATGGACAGGGGGACAGCGGGACAGGGGGACATGGGGACAGAGGGACATGGGGACAGGGGGACATGGGGACAGGGGGACATGGGGACAGCGGGACATGGGGACAGGGGGACATGGGGACAGAGGGACATGGGGACAGGGGGACATGGGGACAGCGGGACATGGGGACAGGGGGACATGGGGAAAGAGGGACATGGGGACAGCGGGACATGGGGACAGGGGGACATGGGGACAGAGGGACACATGGACAGGGGGACAGCGGGACAGGGGGACATGGGGACAGAGGGACATGGGGACAGGGGGACATGGGGACAGGGGGACATGGGGACAGCGGGACATGGGGACAGGGGGACATGGGGACAGAGGGACATGGGGACAGGGGGACATGGGGACATGGGGACAGGGGGACATGGGGACAGAGGGACATGGGGACAGCGGGACATGGGGACAGGGGGACATGGGGACAGCGGGACAGCGGGACATGGGGACAGAGGGACATGGGGACAGGGGGACATGGGGACAGCGGGACATGGGGACAGCGGGACATGGGGACAGAGGGACATGGGGACAGGGGGACATGGGGACATGGGGACAGAGGGACATGGGGACAGCGGGACATGGGGACAGGGGGACATGGGGACATGGGGACAGAGGGACATGGGGACAGGGGGACATGGGGACAGCGGGACATGGGGACAGCGGGACATGGGGACAGAGGGACATGGGGACAGGGGGACATGGGGACATGGGGACAGAGGGACATGGGGACAGCGGGACATGGGGACAGGGGGACATGGGGACATGGGGACAGAGGGACATGGGGACAGGGGGACATGGGGACAGGGGGACATGGGGACAGCGGGGCAGACGAACAGGGGGACAGGGACGGCGCAGGGAGAGCAGGTGGGACACGGGGACAGACGGACAGGGACAGGGACAGGCGGGAGGGATCCCTGGGACAGGACGGGGGACAGCGAGAGGTCATGGGATGGGGTGGGGACATTTGGGGGACACGGGAACGGGTTGGGACACCAGGGACGGGTTGGGGACATTGTTGGGGAACATTGGGGACATTGTTGGCAGTTGGGGACATTGCTGGGGTTTGGGGACATTGTTGGGGAACATTGGGGACGTTGTTTCTCTTGGGGAGGGGTGGGGACATCGTGGGGGGTGTGGTGGGGACAGGGGTTGGGTTGGGGACATCACAGAGGCGACACGGGACAGGTTGGGGACATGGATGAGGACGGTGGGGACATCAGGGAGGCTTTGGGGACATCACAAAGGGGACATGAGACAGGTTGGGGACATGGGACAGGTTGGGGACACCAGGGAAGGTTTGGGGACATCACAGAGGGGACATGGGACAGGTTGGGGACATCAGGGAGGCTTTGGGGACACCAGGGGGGCTTTGGCGACATCACAGAGAGGACATGGGACAGGTTGGGGACATGGGACAGGTTGGGGACACCAGAGAGGCTTTGGGGACATGACAGAGGGGACATGGGACAGGTTGGGGACACCAGGGAGGCTTTGGGGACATGACAGAGGGGACAGGAGGCGCAGCTGGCCGGATGTCCCCATCCCTGGGGAGCTGCCGAGGTGGAGCAGGGACAGGGACGTGCTGGGAGGGGACGGGGACATCAGGAGGGGTTGGGGACAAGTGACGCAAGCGGTGACACCGTCCCCCGGGGCCACCGCGTCCCCTCCCCGTCTCTGGGTGCCCGTGTCCCCTGTCCCCACATCCTGGTGGCCCCAGCTCAGCGGTGTCACCTCCCTGTCCCGTGTCCCCATGGCCCTGGGGGTGGCTCTGTCCCCTGTGTCCCCCTGTCCCACTGTCCCTGTGTCCCATGTCCTGCTGTCCCCGTGGGTGAAGTTGTCCCCAGGCCCCAGTGTCCCTCTGTCGACCATTGTCCCTCTGTCCGGCAGTGTCCGTGCCCCCATGTCCATCACTGTCCCCAGCAGTGTCCCCGTGTCCCCGCCATGTCCCCCTGTCCCCAGCAGTGTCCCCGTGTCCCCAGCAGTGTCCCCGTGTCCCCGCCATGTCCCCGTGTCCCCAGCAGTGTCCCCGTGTCCCCGCCATGTCCCCGTGTCCCCAGCAGTGTCCCCGTGTCCCCAGCAGTGTCCCTGTGTCCCCAGCAGTGTCCCCGTGTCCCCGCCATGTCCCCCTGTCCCCAGCAGTGTCCCCGTGTCCCCAGCAGTGTCCCCGTGTCCCCGCCATGTCCCCCTGTCCCCAGCAGTGTCCCCCTGTCCCCAGCAGTGTCCCCGTGTCCCCGCCATGTCCCCCTGTCCCCAGCAGTGTCCCCCTGTCCCCAGCAGTGTCCCCGTGTCCCCGCCATGTCCCCCGTCCCCAGCAGTGTCCCCGTGTCCCCAGCAGTGTCCCCCTGTCCCCAGCAGTGTCCCCGTGTCCCCGCCATGTCCCCCTGTCCCCAGCAGTGTCCCCGTGTCCCCAGCAGTGTCCCCGTGTCCCCGCCATGTCCCCCGTCCCCAGCAGTGTCCCCGTGTCCCCAGCAGTGTCCCCGTGTCCCCACCATGTCCCCCTGTCCCCAGCAGTGTCCCCCTGTCCCCAGCAGTGTCCCCGTGTCCCCGCCATGTCCCCGTGTCCCCAGCAGTGTCCCCGTGTCCCCGCCATGTCCCCCGTCCCCAGCAGTGTCCCCCTGTCCCCAGCAGTGTCCCCGTGTCCCCGCCATGCCGTTCGGGGCGGTGCTGGCGCAGGTCGGGGGCCTGGGCCGGTTCCAGGTGCTGCAGACGGCGCTGCTGGCGGTGCCCATCCTGCTCATGGCCAGCCACAACCTTCTCCAGAACTTCACCGCCGCCGTCCCCCCGCACCGCTGCCGCGTCCCTGCTGTCCCCGGTGCCACCCCGGCGTCACCCAGTGCCACCCCAGCACCACCCAATGCCACCCCGGC